GAGGGGGGGAGATAGGTAAAAATTTTGTTCTGCGGAAATAAGTTTCTTGTAAAGATCTATATACCTATTAAATTTCAGCTTTCTATCTTCAAGGGTGTAGAGTTTTGTAAACAAAAAAAGTGTCAGACGGAATATGACAGAGTGAAATTAATAAGCACCTTTTTTCAAAAATTTTTTTTATAAGTGCTAAAAAGTTCAAAGAATTATACATTTGTTTAAGCTTATTAAAGTATAATGTTAAAAAACTGTAATATCAGAATTAAATTTTAGATGAAAATTTAAAAAAAAAGTTTTTTTTGCTTACAAAAGAAGAGGTAAATGCGGCAGGATTTTTTGTTTTCGATTTAATCGTATATGCAAAAGATATCTTAAGGCTACGAGTAAAATCATAAACAATCTGTCCAAATACTTAAAAAGAAATTTTGAGAGTTGCATGTATGATGCAAATTTTAATTGACACAAAGTTTCGACAATGTGTTAAAAAGCGCACGTATATTTTCTCAAATTATTTAAGAAACACAAATGAGCCAATGTAAATAATGCTTTTTTATATATTATTGTAATGAAATTAGACGTTTATCGCAGATTTTCATCTAACGAATATACGTATACATATTGTTTTCCTTTCGATAATTTAATTTTTTTTTGATTTGAATTTACACAAAATGAGCATGATTGTTTTTGACAGAAATATTTTGTGAGTACACAATGCACAAGAACAAAAACAAAATATGTATTTAAAATTTAAAATTTCTTTAATTTTACATAAAATAATCATGAAGGTTGATGAATTTGGCATAAGAATACTAATTTTACTAAAAATTTTGTAATACATAAAATAATATTATGTATTATTATGTACATAATATACATAATATACACTTTCATACTGTATACGAAATAAGCACTAAATATATATATATATATATATATATATATATACTTATATTAATTATATATACTTATATAACATATATACTTATTTATGTTTATACGTTTTATATACTTATTTATATAAATTGTTGTTTTCTTCTTGTTTTAAAAACAAAATCGTGAATATTGCAAAATAATTGAGCCAATAGTTTTAAAAAATTAAATATTTTTTAATATTGAAGTAATAATAAATATTGTTGAATAATATTTACAAAATAAATATTTGTCTAACACGATATTCGCCCATATGTCAACAATGACCTTTCTGTTTTATTTACGTGAATATAACAATCTGAACTACTACTGGATAGTTGAAAGTAGGTTATAAATCGAATAACATATAGTGTATATGAGAATTCTCTTATTTAAGATTCTTATGGACTTCTTAATAATTTAATTTAAAATTTTATTTTGAACAATATAAAATATATTTTAACGTTTAAATATAAAAATATATTTTTACTTTAAAATCCTTTTATTTTATTTAATAACTAAAATTTTAATAACTATTGTCACAATTTTCATTTTCATTCAAATTTTTTTTAATGCACTACGAATTTTTAAAATCATTAGGGTTTGTAAATTTTCACTGATTTCGTTATAGAAGGGCACAATTTGGTCGAACGTAATTATTATAAAGTTAATTAAAAAAAAATACTATACATACTTATAATAAATAAAAATACTATTTTATTGTCTAACATACAAGTATTAAAGTTGAAGTCAAATTGCAATAAAAGTAAAAAACTTATAATCACCTTTAATTTTTCATTCAAAATAAATGAAATGAAATTATGGCCTTCATGGCAAAAGAAGAATTGTATATATGTACTTATATATAGAAGCAGTTAGATTATCTTGAAAACTATCTTTAAACTGCTTTATTTTCGAAACTAGAAAATATTTGTGATACATGTGATTGTTCATAGAGGAACTCAGAATCTGAAAACTCAAATTTTAACTAAAATGCAAGAATAGCTAATTAAAATAAAAATTTTTCAATCATGTGATTAAAAATATGTTTAATTAAATTAAGGAGATGAAGAACATAAAAAAGATAATTTAAAACTTTACTAATTTAATTAATAATTTAACTAGTTTCTGAGAAATTCTAGTGACATTAATGAAAAAAATTTTCCTTTTATTTCTCATAAATATAAATAAATTTTCTCATTCATTCTTCTTGTTTTCTAATCTTTCTTATTATATACGTTTTGTTTTAGTTTCAAAATTGAATTCCCTATTTATTAAAATACAAAAAACGAAAGGAAAAACAAGAAAAATGCTAACATCTTATAATATTTGTATACAACTTGTAGCTTTTTAACACAAATATAATAAATTTCTTGATTTTCTTTTTATATTTTTATGTTTTTATTCTTACAAAATTTTCTTTTTTATATTTTCTTCTTTTTTCTGTTTTTATTTTTTTTTATTTTCAATTTCAATTTATAAATTTTTATTATAAAGTTTTTATAAATCACCTGGGAATGCTATGAATTAACATCAAATGTAAAATAAAAATTAAAAAATTTCTTTTAAATAATTTTAATCGACGGTATCGTAAGAAAATGTAAAATTTCGTATTTTTATGAAAAATTCTAAATTTTACGATATTCTAAATATAAATACCGGAATCTGTTAAGAAAACTAACAATAATAAATTAAAAATATTATAGTATAAAAAATATATAGTAATAGTAAAATTTTTTTAGATATCCGATGCAAATGAATCAGTTTTTGTAGTTTTTGTACAAACAAACACATGAATTTAAGGAAAATTGACAAATTTCACATGTTTATTTATTTACGATTAACGAGTATAGTACAAAGATCTATGTTAGTAATAGTATAAATATACATATATGCTGTTCATTTTAAATGGATAATATATAATTAAAAATTTGATTGATAGTTTGTATGAGGAAAAATAATTTTGTTGTGTACATAAAATTTATTTGATATCTTCAAAAGAATTCATTTTTTTTATTAAAATATTAATGTGACATACGTTATTATTACGAGAAATCTAATAAACGAATCTGTTCTTTTAAATTTATCAAAATATTTTCGAGGAAATTTTTGAATATAATAATGTGTTCAGTTTTATTTAAAATAATTTTATTGAAAGTTTAAAATGAAGCGATTGAGTGTATTTAGTAAAATAAATTAAATATGCCATTAAATTGAAATTCCACGCAATAGAATTCTAGACTAAGACAACATAATTATTATGCATATTCATAATAAAGTCAAAAAACTTGGAAAATTTCTTTATTTCAACATTACTTGTATCTATTAAACAGAATAATATTAAAAAATTTTTTCCAAAATGAAAACATTTTTCATTCATCTTTAATATTGTATTATATTTAATCAGAAGAATTACAAAAATGAATTCAAATTCTAAATATTTTCTACTAAATCAAAATACCTTCCATAAATATTATTGTTACAAGGATTATGTACAGTATTGTAATTAAAATACATGATAAAACAATGGAAATATAGCATAAATTTCGAACTATTTTGTACTTCATTTTTTATAATAGATAGAATGGCTTAATTTAAAATCATTAAAAAATTTAAGAAATTTCAATAATTTAATTATTAAAATATTGATGCTAGTATAAAAATTTTTTTGTTTATTTTATGAAAATTCAATTTTATCGGAAAATTTATAGCAAATAATGATATAATTAAAGGCGACGGAATTTCAAAAGTGTTTTCAAAAGTGTTCTATTGCATTGAGTTGTAAATGTTGTATTATAAATATGACATATTACTAACTGCTTTTTTACGGAGTTTTTGTAAAATATATTTACTAATCACGTTTATGAAATTAATTTAGAAAATTTTTTAATAAATTGTAGAATATCTTCCTCCTACTTTTATTACTTTTTAAAATATTTTATATCAATTTTATGAAGACATGTATATGTATACACATATAAGAGTTCTTATGCCTTTTAAATTAAGAAATACTTTGCCTTTTTTGAATTAACCACAAAAAGCAAACAAACACATACTATACTAAATACTTTTTTCGAGCTGTGTATGTAACAAATTTGATGAGAGCAAATTTTAAATAGCATTAAAATTGTAACAATCAATTCTTTTAATAATCACTTTAAAATAAATGTACAATAATAATATAAACGTAACACTCTATATTTAAATAAATTTTATAAAATACAAGTTCCCGTTCAATTTAATTTCAAAGAAAATTTCTTAAAATAATTGCAACGTTTATTCATTTTTGACTTTATATCATTTGGAATTTAATTCATAGCACTTTACCTGGGATTTTCTTTCATAAAAATAATCAACAAGCATTGGAAAAGAATATCAAATATAAGAACTGAATATCTGGGCTTTGAAATAAATCATAAATATAATTTTAAATTAATAGCTTTATTTCACATTGTTCATATAATTTTTAAGTATTTTTTTAATATAAATTTATAAATTTTCATGTACATTCATACAAATATAATGCATTTATTTTGAATAAATGTTATTTAATTTATAAACGCTGAGCAGTTATTATATATTTAATAATAAGTCAAACATTTTTAATTTGTTTTTTTTTTTGTAAAAATTTTTTATTAACACAAAAATTTTCATAAATATCCGTTTTTATTTTCGTATTTGTACATTTATATATATACAAAGAATTTCGTATAACACAATGTTAAGTATTTTTTTTATATTATTTTTGCATACTTATGTTTTAATTAAATTTCTTCAAATAAAACACAAATTTAGCTAAACTTTTCACATTCCTTATAGTAGAGAATATTAAAACACTGTAAAATCCTATAATATTTATTTATACTTATATTTTATTATGCAAATATTTCAAATAAAACACAACAAAAAAACAAAAAAACCAGTTAACTTGTTGAGCTAAAAATTTTGCAAGAACTTAATAATAGAATATTAATAATCTCGCGAATTTTGAACATCACCAACTTCATCAAAAAAATTCCATATAAACTAGAAATTTAAAGAAAAGATTATATCTAAAACAAGAACAAGAAAAAAAACAAAATCCCGTATACTACCGCATAAAAATTATTATTGTACTCCTTAACACTATAGTAACGGTTAATGTAACTGTATTAAGTTTAGGGAATTGACCCGATTGAATCACCTCCTAAACTCTAACTAAATTAAAACAAGCACAAAAAAAATTTATAAATTAGAAGAAAAATGAAAAACGTTTGCTTTTGTTTTTTTTTCTTTTTTTTGTTCTTTTTGTTGTTTTTAAATTTTATTTTTGACACACAGCTTTTCTTCTCTTATTTTTTACTCTTGTTTTCTTTTATTATTTGTTTTGTTTTTATTTTATTATTTTTTCTTTTATATTGCTTATATTTTTTTTCTGTGTCGTTTATTTTTTTTTTTAAATTTTCCTCAGTAAATATTCACTATATTATGTTTTTTATGGGAAAAAATATTATGTACGAGGGAAATTTAAATAAATTTTGTGAATTTTTTTTTTGGTAGATGAAATTTATAGATGTCTTATCCCATGACTTCAACAAATTTTTAACAATAGTAAATAAAGCTGTAGCTATAGCAGTTCTTGACATTTTAATAAATCTCTATTTATTTGTTCCCTAATTTCCCCGCAAAACATGTTAAATAATAATAGCAGCTATAACAAGACAAAAAAAATAAGCTAAAAATCTAAATTTCAATTGAAATTAAAAAAAAAAACAAAATTTCCTATATAGTACGTATCGAATGATCCCCTTAAAATGACAATGAACATTTAACAAAGGACAATAAACATTTTAATTAAGAGATTTCCAATAGAACGGAAGAATAGACTGACTAATAGAAGGGAAGAATGAATTTTATATTCATTACGAATCAAAGAGTATTTATTTAAAATTTGCAATTTAATACTTTCCATATCTGTAGACAAATCTAATGATTAACGTTAATTATTGTACGTATATCATGTACGACGTCATTGAATAGAGAATACAGAATATTTCGAGAATCGATATGTAAATATATTTCAATAATGCTATTCAATAAACATGATTTCTCTCAACACAATACTAATTTTAATACATAACTTTAAACAACTAATGAAAACTTTTATAAAAAATAAGCACGTCATATTATGACAAAAAAAATAAAAAATCAAATTTATTACGTTAAAAAATATATTAATTTTCACGATATCAATTGAATAACGTGAATATTAATATTTATAATGCAAAAAAATTATGGATATTCACATAGATACTTCAAAAACATTAACAGTGACGAAAGGCTTAGCCACTATAGTAGTCAAACACAAATGAAACGAAATTAAAAAAAAAAGATGCATATATACATTTACTCAAAAAAATGGGGCATTCTTGTTACTATACTGGCTAATAAATTAATGCGTGACTTCTACAATTTAATTAAAGTGTCCATTACGACACACCTATTCGAGCAAAAAATAAAAAGGGATTCTTTAAAAAAGAAAATTTTCCAACAAATTACACATTCCCATGTAGTTAAAAAGAAAATTCTTGTATAATGAATATTATATTACTTATTATATTAAACCATTTGAAAAAGGATAACTGGGGTGTATATTATATATATGTATATATTTTGAAATATAATAGATTTACTCTAGTAATTAACCAATACAGTAACAAAGAAATTTTAAAATATTATATTTTATACATATTACGCTTATTTCTACTTAATATGTACAATATTATTTTACAAATATCGCACTTAAAACACCTGTTGTTTATAAAACCGTAATGTTAAAGAATCCTTAGAGATTTCATTTAATTCTTTCATTATACTATGATGTACTATCCATATTTATGTTATATAGATAGAAAAGAAAAGTAACTTTATATATTAAAAATTTTCATTTTCTTTACTCTTACCTAATTACGTGACATTAGATTATCACGCAGCTATTATAATAATAAATATTAAATTTAATTACTTATGTAAAAATTAATAAACCTAATAAAATTTTATTTATATAAAATCGTATTATATAAGAGTTATATAAGATGCGTTACAAAAAAACAAAACCAAGAGAAAAAAAAAACTTTTAAATCTAATCCCGTCCGGAATAATTGTCAGATAATCTATCCATCTCTACATAGACGAATGGGTTACGTATATACAAATAAATAAAGTAAGTAAAAACAAATGAATGTATAAATATATATATATATATATATATTTATACATTTATAACATATAGGGTATCTAATAAATATTTGGCTGTTCAATTTATTATAGTGAGTAATTTCCGAACGAATCATATTTTCTATATTTAGTATGCTGTACTATACTGTACAATACTTGAACGTGCTACAAGTTAGAACTGTTCTAGATTTCAATTAATAAAAAAACCCTTTCCTTTTTATAACAAATTCACAAAATCACAGAAAAATCATTTATAATTAACTTTAACTACAATTATAATTTATAATAAACTGGGAACACTATGTTTATAATAATGACATTTTTGTAAGTGATTAATGGCGTTATTGACCGCAGAATAGTTTATTAACAATTCAAAGTAATGATCTGATGTTTATAGAACAGTGTACAGAACCCATAAGTTATCAATAAAATTGAGAATTATTACAGAATCTTTGGTTATTTTTCGGTTATAACCCTCGGTCTGCACACTGAATAATATTGTTTTATTTTGTTATAATTATTAAGATATGATTACAAGATCAGTGCACTAAGTATTTCTTTAACAAAAGTGCTATGTATTTACTCCAGTTTAACAGTCTTAAAAACCTGCGTAATTTAAATAATTTTTTTTTGAAAAAAATTGAACGAACAAAAACCGAACTTAAGAATATATGAGAAAAGATGGTTTTTAATAATCAAATTTTATTGTTCTTTATAAAAAGAATGCTTAATTTATATAACACCGTACGAATTACCGTATATAAATGGAATGGAGACCAGGGACTAATAAAATATTTTAATTAAAAATTCTTTTGGGAAAATTTTTTGATCGAAAACATTATTTATATACCGCCTATTTCAAAAGCTGGAACTAATTTTTTTTACAGCAATTTTATTAAATACCTATATGATTAAGATGCTAGAAATTTTATATGATTTCCCTTTATCATAAAGTACTCTGTATTTTTATGTGAATATAATAGAATTTAAAATATATGATTAAAAATAAGACAAGCATTTTACTTATACCTTTAATAATTCTCATAACTTTTTTTATAATATTTTCTATTCTTCATAACTGTATGTACATATATACATCATGCTGAGATGAGTTTGTACTTGATATCTGGATTTTCATCCTTTATACTTATCATATATTCTAATGTAGCTGTATACCTTAATTTAAATTCCTCTTATGTTATTAAAAAGTCTTTCTCTGTGGGATGCCCTGTATACTCGTAGAACCAAATAATCTCTACATATAATATACTATAATACATCTACATAGAATTTTACTTAAACAGATACATATTGTGAGTAAAATATGTATGTATATGTATATGTATATGAGACATGAAAATATTTACTATTGTTATGTATATATTGTACAATCTCTTTAAACATTCTTATTATTATTATATTATTTTAAAAAACAATAAATAGATAGAAAAGCAAAAGAAACAAAAGAATATCAGAGCAACATATGAAAATAAAAAACAATTTTCATAAGAATTTTTCTTTTTTTTGTTTTCCTATTTTATTTTTCTATATTATTTTCATTATTCTTTTTTTTTTCTTTGCTCTCTAAAAAAAATTTTCTTATTTTTTAATTTCTTTTCATTCTATGAGAAATTATAAGTTTATATACATAAAGGTATACATACCTACACATTAATATGTATTGTATACAATATGTGTGTATTCTATTAAGACATCTTTTCATTAGAAGAACATTTTATTATACAGTACGTAGTGTATTTAGAAATATGTTTCATGTATACATGAACATACATTTGAATTACACGTTTACAAAAGCCTATATATGTATACATGTGAACATAAGCTTTTTAGCTTATCGACAGAATAGAGTTCATCTTACAGTTCAATGTGATGATGAGAAATGATAAGTAAAATAGAAGAAAAAAAAAATGTTTAAAAGAGTTTAAATATAAATATCTAGCTATATGGTTGCGTATTGTGAAAAATTTTCCCAATGACGTCATTAAATTTTATTTTGATTTATTATGTAGGTATTTGTAGAAATGATTATTACATTCACATATACACATTTAATATCTATTATGGAATAGAATAAAATGAAATTGAATACGTAATTGTTTTATTATATACGTATTCGTATACATATACGTATGTACATACGCATTTATATTAATTTCTATAAATATGTATATGAAAATTATTAAGTAATGAATTTTAATTGCATGTTTATGTTGAAATAATATATATATAAACATAATAATATTTACATAAATATATTGTATAGAATTTAATAAATGTGTAAAATAATTTTAATATATGAATGGAAGATGATGGAAAAATAGTGTTTTTTTTTTTTGGGAAGAGAAAATATTTTGCATTTTTTATCATCATCATTAACATATAAAAAGAAAAACACTGAAAAGAAAAGAAAAATATTTATTTTTTTTGTGTCTTGTGTAATTGTGTAATAAATTAAAGTTTTTCACTTGGAAAAATCTTCAATATTCAAAAATTTAAAAATATTTACAAATATTTTTCTGGTTTTATTGATATCTCATTTTTTTTTTTTTGCTAAATGTAAAGAAAGATGTTTTTTTGGGTTGAACTTTATTGTTGAAAAGAAATATTAATTTTGTTATAGATTGGGAATTTTACATACATAAGTTTCTTGTTTACGTTCATTTTGTCAGCTTTATGATCGATATTGTCTTTGTTCTGAACATAAAATATAACCCATACAACAGCTTACTATTATTTTAAGTTATGTCACTAGGAGACGACCGATAATAGATTAAATTCATCAAGTAATTTCAATAATATTCAGAATCATGATCAATTATAATTTAATTTCAATTTGAGTAAAAAACTTTGTAATACGACAGTACAAAATTATACGAAATTCTTCCAAAAAATTTAAAAGCTTATTGCTTACCAAAACTGTATATATACGACAACTAAATATCACCT